GGATATCCATGCCACGTCACAACACAGTGTCGGCACTACGGGACCTCAGGGTGGGAGGGGGTGGGGGGGCGCAGGCACCGTCACAACCCAGCAGGCTGGGGAACGGGCTTGGGCGCCGGGGGTTCACAAAGGCAAAAGACCCGTCCACCCATAGATAGAGATATATATATAAAAAAAAATAGTTCCACAATGACCAGAGCAGAACCACAGGGACACGCGTGCAAGCAAAATGTACAGCAGCCCGCGAGCAGGTAAACATGCTTTGTACAGACACAGACACGCCGGGACGCAGCCAGGGTTTATGGCGCTGGGAGGGATACAGAGCGATAAACCCGGGCTACACGCACGCACACTCGCACGCACACTAGCCCCTGCGGGCAGCGCCCACGGCTTGGGCACGGGCCGGGGCTTGGGGGCTTGGACATGGCGGGTTTTTCTCACTGCAGGACATGGTACGGAAACACGGACACAGTCCCTTGGAACGGAACTGGAGGAAGAACTTGTGAGCGAACGGGGCAGGGGTCCCCCTGCTCCTCCCCGGCACACGGGCACCGGCCGGGGCCAGGCAGGCGGGGGAGGAGAAGGGGGCTACCGGCGGTTCGTTGTGCTGCTGGTGGAAGAGGCAAGGATGGGGGTCCATTATGCCTCTGGCTCGTATTCCTGGTATTCCTCCTGTGGGATGGGGAAAGAAAGAGTCAGTGAGAGAGCTCAAGCGTGGCACGGAGCCATGTCCCCCCAGCCCCAGGCCAGCTTGCCTGCGAGGCTGCAGGGCTGCGTGCACGGGGCACCTGGGAGCAGGCAGGCTCTGGGCTTTGCTCTAGACAGCGATGGCCACCGGTGCGCTGAGCGCTGGCACCCTTTGTGCCCTCCGCAGTGCCCTGCGCCCCCCTGCCACCCCGACCTCTCACCTGCGGGGGCTCCTCGTAGTTCTCCCCCTCTGGCTCCAGCAGCAGCTCCACCAGCAGCCTCCTGGGCCACCTCCTCCGGCTGGGGATAAAGCGGGGGGTCAGTCCCACACACACAAGCCCCCCATGCAGCACCCACCCTCCCTGCCCCTGCCAGACTAGGGTGACATGGCAGAGACCAGCAACGCACCCAGGATGCTGAGGGCTCCATGTGGGGGTCCCAGTCGGGGGGTGGCTGGCAAGAGCACCCTGGGCACACACTAGCCTGCCACACTGGGAGGTGACAGGCAGGAGTCCATGGGAGCAGGGCCTATATGTGCACGTCCCTGCACTGGTCCCAGCCCCAGCCTCAGCCCCGGGCAGGTGATGGGTGGTGACACCGTGTGGGCCCCGTTGGACTCCAGGCATTGGTGGGGCTGCAGGAGCATCCTGCATCCCTGGCAGGGGAGGGCGGTGCTGGGTAACCCCTCCCCGGGGCTGGCAGAGCAGCTGGCAGGAGGGAAAG